AAAAAAGCATCATAGATAGCTAGATGTATTTTCTTGCTAATAAAACTTGCATATGCATATTACAGAAATATTTATATAATAAGATACATTATATGAGACATACAAATATTTGATAAGACTGATAAAATTGATATAAATGCATTTGATATATATGAATCACATGATTTGCATGATATACATGCATAAATAACCATTGTACAACATGTATATTAATATGTTAGATATACAAATTTCATGAATTGAGATAGATAAAAATTGTTCTAAACTAATGAGTATAAAAATGATAGAGTTATTGATCATCCCTTATGTATTGTTATTGATTGCTAATCACTGGCCTTAAGATATATAGTTATAGTGATGTTTATTGATCATATGATATATTACTGTTTCATTTATTAGTACATATTTTTATTGTTATATGTTCATACTGATAGTGATGAAATGATTACATGTATACAGTTTATATATTTCAGTTTATGATGTATACAATTTATGATATATACAGTTTATATTATATTGCATTAATTTCTCTTGTAGTTTCTGATAAGCTACTGAGCTGTTAGCTCACTCTTTTATTTACATATTTTAGGAATAGCCCAAGATCCAAATGGAGCGAGGATATATCATATATTGATGTTTTATTTTATTATGCATTTTCTTTTATTTTATTCTTTTGTAATCAAGAACTAAAAGATAGATTGATGAATGTATGGATTGAATTTTTAGCTATTATACATGAACTTCGAGGGATTTATAGAATTTTATATTTTAAAGTATATGGTTTTTAGTTGCTTTAGCTCGATTGATTTATGTTGATAAATTAAAAGCTTTGGCTGATTAATTAAGATATTAAAATAGACAATTTTTTTTTTCAAAAATTGATCTTGAGGCATTACAGTACCACTATCATGAAACTTCAATCCTTATACCAGCTTCATTAGAGTTTGGCTCTCCGACCACTGTTATTAGACTACAGTCCTCCACTAACCATTAGGGGTGTAAACGAATCGAGTCTACTGAATTGAGCTAAGCTTATTTAATTCTTATTGAGCTCAAGCCTAACTAGAGCTAATTCACTAAGCTCGAGCTCAGCTTGTTAACAAATTTGTAGGATCGAGCTCTGCTCAATTGCTCATGCTTGTTTGGAAAGCCTGTTTTTGACTTGATTGTTGTGCTCGATTTCTTTATTTTAAAATATTTTTTATTTTTTTATTTTAAATATTTAATTAATTTAAAAATGTTAATGTATATTATATAATGCTAATTTACATTAATTATTAAAAATATTTAAGTTAATCGAGCTTATCAATGAGCTTACGAGCTGAGTCAAGTTGAGCTTGAGCTTCAGCTTGTTTAATATATGAGCTTGAGTATAGGCTCGAGTTCTAATTCATGCTTCTATAAGCTCAACTCGCGAGCTCTCTAAGTAGTTGAGCTTAAGCTGACTCGTAAGTCGACTAGGCTCACTTACACCCTATCACTATTGTCCTATTATGGTCCTTCGATCACCTTACCTAACTATGGTTCTTGAATCACCATTGTTAGACTATGGTTATTTGAACACTATTGCCTAACTATAATCCTCTAACCACAATCATCCAACTACAATCCTTTAATCACCATTACTAAACAATTCCCCTATGACTTCTATTGTTTGTCTACGATCCTCCAACCATCATTGTCCAACTATTGTCCTCCAAACACCAACCATTGACTATGATCATCCAACAATTATCGCTCAACTATAATTTTGCAACCGCTATCAAATGACTATGATTCTCCAATCGCTATTGTCTAACTAAAATACTCCAACAAATGTCGCATGGCTATAGTTCTTCGAGCTATGAGTTTTAATGACCATCACCCAACTATGACCCTCCAACCGGCCTTGTTCACTTGAGTCCTCAACTACTAGCTTTCATTATGGATGTTAAAATCGGGTTGTGGGTATAGTTCAGGTCGAATCCAATATTGACCCGTCACTAGATGCCTTGACTAGAACCTGACTCGTTTTTGTAGAAAGATCATAAATGTAAAATCAGATCGAACTGGTTGGCTTTCCTGGTTGACCCGACTCAACACCAAATGATACATTCGCAACAAGCTAGTGGGAGTGCTGTTTGGGAGAAAATGGTTACGTTCGCAACAAGCTCCCTCCCTCCCTCCCGTGACCCCATTAGCGTCATCGTCTTTACTTCCGATTCAACTAAAGAACGACGAGCTGAGTTTCGTGACTTCCGAGCGGAGAAAGGAACGTCGTCGAAGGAGTCAGTGATTCAGTGAACAAGTCATTGAGCGAGCTATTGTGAGTCACGGCCTTGCGGGTCGGTCGTCGGTGAGCGAGGACTAGGGACTACGGGAGAAGAGGAAAAGCAAACCCTTAGCCGGTTAGGGCTTGCGTGCATAACCACCGAACCAGAACGTCGAATGTGAGAGAAGAGGGAAAGCGAACCGTATACTCCTATGCGAGTTAATTCTGGTCAACTTCGGTTTAGTGGGTTGACCCAAATCTGATATGTTTTTTCAAACGAGTCAAATTCTAAAACCCAAATCCGACCCATTTGCAAAACTGATTGACCATAACCCGAAATTTTTAGGTCGTGTCAAATTTTAACATCCCTAGCCTCCATTTGCTTGAGTATTATCTATCCCATGTTATTATTTTTTTTTTTTGGGACATTTAGGCCATTTAAGGCAAACTCACACACACAACGCATACACATGGACTCGAACCTTAGACCTCTTAGTTGGAAGCCTAAGCTCTCAACCAATAGGCCAAGGGGAGTTGTGTCCCATGTTATTTTTCATTTGTAACATATAAGGTATACTACTAGTGAAATCATTACAATATATCAAATCAATTATTTTCAAAATTTTCATATAAAATATTGATGTCAATTTTTATATAATACTAAAATGTTGAATTCTAGCCCGTGATGTCCTAAAAATTTTCCTTAGTGTTTTAAGAGAACGGGTGATTAGCATCGCCAGCCAATAATTTCTGAAGATTATTTCTTCACGTCATGAATTAAAATGACATTTTTAAATACTAATTCCCATCAATTAAAATGACATTTAAGTACTCGTCGCATCATCCAAAAAAATAAAATTACTGACACTGCCAGCGCTGGCTACGACGTTAGAGTTCAGAAGTCTTTTGTCCAGATAGCCGTTAGAAGCGTCAGCCTGGGGCTTCATTCCAATGTTAATCTCCTCCTCGCCGCTCCCGTTCTTTCCAATATTTACTGTTTTTTCTTATCCTACAGACCTGAATAAGGAATCTTCTCCACGGCGTCTTCCACTGGGTCGAGCTTACCCGCCGGCCAGGCAATTAGATTTAGAATGACGACTATTTTATGAAAGAAAAATCTCTTCTTGACCATAAATATCTTACTCACTTTGAGCCCTTCGTAGCTCGGCTACACAAGCCCTGAATTCCCCTGAGCTCCGACGGTACGTCTGGTTCCATATTGATATATTTCTCTTGAATTTTAGGGGAGTTTCTCGCTTTATATGAACGAAATCAAACATTTTAAAATAGTTTTAGCTGATTTAGATGCCGTGGACTTAAGTTTTTTTTATTGAATAGTGATTTATACTGTTTTATTTTTGATTTGATTCTTGTCCGTTATTTTATCTTTTTATTTTTCTGTGGCTGCGTGTGATTCAGTTGACCTACAAAGCTATTTAAGTCAAAATGCCAAACGTTTTGATTTATTGAAGATGAGATCAAATCTACTCATACAGGAACCAAATGAGTAGGATTACTGCATCCTATGGAACAAGACAAAGCTTGCCGTGTACTCTCAGAGACTAATTCAAGCCATTCTTTCTAATTGGCTATCTTACGGCTGTTTGTTATTGAATTCCATGTCTGTTAAACTTATGTTAGAGGTACTCGATTGCTGATTGTTTGACTTTGATGCTTGAGTTTCTTCATTCGAAATTTTGGTTCTTGATCTTATTCATATTTTTTCGGTGAATTTTTACTCTTCTGTTTCTGTAATTTTTAGTGAGGTTTTAAAGATTGGTTTTTTGATCAGAGGTTTGATTGCATGCTGAATAATAAAACCTTTCTTCATTGGAGTTTTGAGTTTTTCGCTATCATACATTTAATGTATCTATATATTTTAACCCTTTTCCTGATGCGACCTTTTTAGTTTTCTTCTTTTTCTTCTACGCCAGCATATCAATATTTCCTGTCTTGATTAAGAATTTTCTCAATAGAATCTTATGATTTTAATCTCTTGTTTTGCTTTGGGTGAAGCAGATTCTGATGCGAATATAAGTAGCTGTTCACGCTTGCTTCAATTCAAGCCTCTGTTGCAAGATGCCTAAGTCAAATTTTACTGTTTTCATGGCTTTCTTGGCCGTGTCATTTTGCTACTTTCTGTGGGCTGCTGTGGCACAAGTTACTGACCCAATGGAAGGTATGTTGCTGAAAGTATCAATACAATCTGTGCCTTTTGACATAGATGTCCTTGATTATATAGGCGAAATTTTCGGAAGCAGCATGATTCAAGTGAATTTTCGTGGAAAAAGAAGACCACTGAAATAATTTAAATAAGAGCTAATTCGCTAAACCAAATAGCGTAATGAGAATGCGTTGTTTTGTTCCGCGCATTCTGAAGAATGCGCCAACCTAATCGGCGCATTCTTCCCGTCTTTGCTTCGGTGACTGTCAGTTGATTGATGTTTTTGGAGTTCAGCGGAAACCAGATCCGCGAATTCCGCGGACCGGTGCGGAAATGAAGACGCAAATAATTGCTGATGGTTGGACGTTGAGGGAGTTGTGAAGATGCCATGCAAATTTTCTTTATAAATACGCGAGCAGCACAGCTGAACGGAAATCACAAGTCTCTTAAGTTCCTTTTCTTCGTTTGCTGCTGCTGCTGTGTTCATCCGAGAGAGAGGTGAGTTATGTCTTTTTTTTTTCATTTTATTTTCTGTTAAAGTTGTTTTGGTGAAGATGTAAATTTTGTGGTCATTTATTTAAAAAAAGTTTTTGTATTATGTAGTAGTTTTGGCTTGCCTTAGTTTTGTGAGATATATTTTTTTGTTGCAATATTGTTAGTTATTATTTTAGCAGTGAGTTGTATATTTTTTTTTAGCAATTGTTTATTTTATTTAAAATAAAATTGGTGTATTATAATTTTTTTTAGAACATTTTGTTGTTTGATATGGTATGTAGAAATAAATATATCAATGTTTTGTGGAGTTTTGCTTGTAGTTTATTTTTCAAAGATCTATAACTATGTAACATTTTTAAAAAAAAATTATTTCGTACACCGTCAAATTCACCACATATTAATTTTAATAGTAGCCTAAACAAAAGTTATTTCATAACGACATAAGCCTTTTAGACATTTCTTATGGTTTACAGAACTGATCAAAGGTAGTTATTTCAATAATTTTGTTCCTAAAGAGAGGCACCCAACTGTTATTTTACTAGTCTTGAGAGGCATCTTAGTCAGTTGGTTGGTGTAAGAGTCTGCTGAAATTATTGACATCTCGTGTAAGAGTCTTTTTTGAGTACGGATGGTGAAATTGTAACAATGCTTAGTTTGTATTTTAGAGATTGATTATAGCTCCTTAAATTTAATCCATATATGATTCTTTAATAAAAGTCCACATTTTATATTTGACATGATCCTTAAGAAATAACACAAATAATTTCATGCAAGTATATAAGAATCTATGACGAATTTAAAAAATTGCTTTTAATATGGAAACCAACATTCTCCTCACAAGATTTATTTGCTTGTCATTTAAAATTTTATAGCCCTATAATGATGATGAGAATATTTTTTTGCAAAATTTTTTTAAGTTAAATAATTAGAATTATATTTAAAATATTTAAACGTTATAATTGTTAGAATTAAATTTGTTAGAATTAAATAATTGTTAGAATTAAATTTTTATCCGACAAATTTTTTTTAAAATAAAATTATATAAACTTATTTATGTTTACAAATAAAATTTGTCATCTGATATGTAATTATATTTTATTTATTAAATATTAAAATCCTTTTAGAAGAATTACTAGAAGTGCAAAAAAATTTATTAAATTAAATTTGATTGAACTGAATCCTTCAATCTAGTACGTTAGACTTAAATTTAACTATCATTTTGGGAAGAGGAAACCTCAATTTATTTTTAAGTTTAAATACATAATAAGAAGTATATAAATAGTAGATTAACCTAAATCCTTCAATCTAGTACCTTAGACTAAATTTTAACTATCAAATTGAGAAGAGAAAACCTCAATTTATTTTTAAGTTTAAATACATAATAAGAAGTATTAAGCTCACCCCTAAGGAGAATAAATAAAATTTACCTATGTTTTAATCATGAAATTTTGAATTATTTTTAAAATCAAAAGTACATTAAAAATTTATTATTCATCCATAATGAATAAAAGGAATATTCAACTATCATTTCAATCATGAAACAAAATTACTGAATTGACTTTCATACTAAAACTATATCAAGAATATTAGAATCATTCTTAAGGAGAGAAAATGTTTACCTATTTTTTAGTCATGAAGGTAAATTTATATTTTTATTTTCATAATAAAAAAATATAAGAAATATTCAATTTACGCGTGAGGATTAAAAGAATATTTACTCATCTTTTGAATGTGGAATTAAAGTTATGTTTAATGCTTAGGTGTACATTCTTAAAATTCCTACATATCTTAAAAAAGAACTAAAGCATGTATTTTAATTCAATTTCCACATATGAATATATTAAATTTGTTAAATTAATTTTAATAGAACAAACAAAATCTATTGATGCATTAGTTACTACCCAAACTATGCAAGACGTTGCAGTATATGGTGGATATGTTAGACCAAAAAATAAAGTGATATAAGTTTCATGCTATGAACTGAATACATTATTGCGATTGAATTCAACAATTTATTAGTTTTACTTCATCGGTAGGAATAGAGCCGTAAGTACATTGTTACTCTTTAAAATGCGTTTACTCTCATTACATTATGAGTAGTATGTTAAGTAAAAAACTTTAGCGAAATATGACATTCTTGGAATTGACCCTCAAATTTGTGTTATTTAGGACAGAATGTCACGCTTAGTATTATTTTTTGGTGGTGAGCTTCGTATCGGGGATGAGTTCACAGCGACATATATTGGTGGACAAAATTGGCTAATCATTATTGATCATGATATTTCTCTTACAATGCTAAAAGACAGAATTGTGAGTGCGCTTAGGATTAATTCTGCAACAAATACTGTCAACTTAACATGTCGACTTCGGAATAATGGTGGCTACTGCGCAACACATGTAACTGATGATGAGGTTTGTGAGTTTATGTTATTAGAAGCAAGAATTGATCCTGTCGTTGTTTACGTTGAGGCAGAACAAATCAATCATTGTGACGTTCCTGGTCTATCAACGGAGATACATATGTAAGTATTTAGAACTTCATTATATGATGCTCTAGTGATTAAATTCCTTATTTAAAAATTAAGCATAATTAAATCTTTTTGAAGTATTCCTAACACGTGGTATGGCGGAGGAGTAAATACGATTGAAATGCAAAATAACTTCCATGGCCAACTGAGTTTGTCAGAGCGACCAAATTTTGTGGCGCAACATCTGCCTTCACGTACCAATGTGACCGATCGTCCATGTTGGTTTAGACCATGTAGTAATATATGTGAAGAAAACTTAGTCTCTTCCTCATTCATGCCTCAATCAGAGCAAAACGAAATATTTCATTACACGGAGATGATATGGATAACAACAACGTAGATTCATACAAAATTATGGATAGTGGTAGTACTGATTCAGGGGATAGTTGTAGTCAACCTGAAACTGAAAATACATGAACAAATGTACAATTGTACGAATGATGAAAATATTGGTGTTGAGTTCATTGAAGATCATGCAGGACGAGACGTTGCTGGATTAGAATCGATGGATGCAAATAATAATTTCAAAGAAACCATTCAAACAACCGAAGAATGGGATGGTAATGATTAATGTGATCCTCCTATCATTAATATTGTTAGCTCAACAGAAGCAAACATTCCATTAGAAGTGTATGAAAGTCAAATCTTTCATAACAAAGAAGAATTACAGGCTGCAATTAATGGTTGGTCAATTTCACAAAATGTTCAGTACATAAATTCGACTTCCAATAAAAGTCGTCTCACAATTTTATGTACTCAACATAATAATATGCATATGCCATGCTATTGGCGATTACATGCATCACGAAGTAAAAGATTATATGGTCTTTGGAAAGTATCATCTGCGGGTCCGCCACATACTTGCACTCAACCTGTTATACTTGGTGGGCATCACAATTGCGCCTCAAAATTTATATGTAGGCATATCATGCCCATTATAAAACAACAACTCGACATGAAACTGAAGGAGATAATTGCAAGAATGGAGTCAAAGTTTCAAATGAAGATTTCATACATTAATGTATGGGATGCATAGAGAAAAGCCATAGAAGCAATATTTGGTTCATATGAGGATTCATATCGTTCTCTCCTACGTTATATGGAAGTGATACGTTTGTCCCAACCAGGTATAGTATACAATGTTGAATTGGTTGGAGGTTCACGATTCAAGACTTTATTTTGGGCGTTTGGCCCATCAATTTATGGGTGGCAACATTGTCGGCCTGTCCTTAGCCTTGACGGAACCTTTTTGCTAGGAAAATATCATGGGACCATTCTTGCTGCTGTTGGAATTGACGCGAATGGTGGATTGTTCCTGTTGGCTTTTGCAATAGTTGAATCAGAGAGCAATGATTCATGGGTTTGTTTCCTTCGTAACCTACATGATTTGGTTGAAGTAGTAAAGAACGTCAAAATTTATGCATAATCTCAGATAAGCATCCAACACTTATGAGAGGGTGCCGAGAAATATTTCTGCAAGCTGTCCATAGACACTGCCTTCGTCACTTGCGTGAAAACTTCAAAAAAATTTTACATCGCCAAGGTATTGTTGATGTTGAAGGCCTTTGCAATAATATGTATTTAGCTGGTTATACAGAAGACAGTGCGAACTTCACTCGTATGATGGAGCATATAAAAAATGCAAAGCAAGAAGCATATGATTGGTTAATACAGCGTGATGTTAGTAAGTGGTCATTATTATTTGACAATGGATGTCGATATAGCATCATGACAACAAACGCATCGGAATGTTTTAACGGAGTTCTTAAACGTGCTTGTGGACTTCCGATTCAAGGTCTAATAATATCCATATACTATAATCTCGTTTCTTTATTTATGAGGTGTTCTACAGAAGTTGAGAAGTGGATGATGACTGCAGAATCTGAATTTGTTCTTCGTACAATGGGTATGTTACAAAGAACTGAACGCAAAGCACTATGCTGCCCTGAACCAATTATCATTAATAGAGGCGAATTTGAAATTGTGGATACG